CTTTGATTTCAGCGGTGATCAGCACCCCCTGGAACCCTGCCACTGTCAAGGAATGCCGAATGAACTTACCGCCTTTTGTGAGTCAGTGCCATGCCGCGCGTGGGATTAAATCCCTGTGCGTTAGTACATGAAGCGCAATGAATGAGTTCAAATGATTGACAGATCCTAAAGCTTTTTTTTAGAAACTCTCAGTCATTAGCCGTACCAAAAATATCAGAATTAATTAAAGTATTATCTTTAAGTGGGCAGAAATCGTCTCGGTTGCAAACCGGAATATATATAGAAGCAAGAATATTTCTACTAATTTTCCTTTCATCTTACAGGTCCTACCTTAAGTCTTTACATCAAAATATGAAACTGACCCTAACTACTTGTACTGGTATGTTTAGATTATTATTACGAGGTTGCCAAAACCCTAACCCTAACCCTCCTCAATCCTTCACCTGTTGGAGGACTGAGGAGTGTTGGGGTTAAGGGTACATTCCACCAAATTAATGGTCGTATGTCTGCTCGCAAACTCATTAGTAATATTTTGTGATGCTACCTTTTTTTTTTTACAATAAGACGTGCCATAATCACGAGGGATCATAGAAGTTTTTATACAAACCCCACATTTGGGCTTGATACTTTTCAGTTCAGAGTTCTTTCACAAAAAGCCGCACATCGCGGGCCTATTTTGGATAGAGGCAGGCGGCTACATTCAGAGCTGAGCGCATAGTTTTACTACTATTAGGGGGTATATTCTGGAAAAGGCGAATAAGAAAATTCATAAAATTGAATTGAAAAGTGATCGATCAGGCCATAATATTGAATTTCCAGCGAAAAAAACAGAAGTGCAACCTTTTCGCAAGGCTGAGGGTCGGCGCTATTTCAGTCTATGGGCGCGTATATTTGGTATAATGCAACCTTAAGCCTCAGTGGGTCCGAGTTGACTCGACGTGGGTCCGAGTTGGCGTGGGTCCGAGTTGGCTTGGGTCCCAGTTGGTTGTTGGCCCGAGTTGGTCGTGGGTCTGGGTTTGTATTGGGTCCGAGTTGGCGTGGGTCTGAGTTGGTGGTGGGTCCGAGTTGGCATGGGTCCGACTTGGAATGGGTCCGAGTTGGTTTGGGTCCGAGTTGACCTGATCCCATTGGCAGTAGGTTCCACTCAACTACATGTATGGTTCTTGGCAGAAATTGTAACAATCTTTTTTGATGGTGGGGTGAACAAAGGAAGTTACAGTTGATTTCTGGGTGTGAATTTTTTTGGCGGCTTGTTTGATTTGAAGTTTGTCAGTGTTGATGGCTATTGTATGATGTATGGACTTAAACAGGAGTGTGAGTCTGGATACGGCCCTGTGGCTTTCCAGTGAATCCCATCCCAATTCAGATATCATAGATATACATGTAGGTGTGCCATGAGGCATGCAAGTATATGCTTGTTTGATGCGGAGCAGGCTGAGTACTCATACCTAATTTATTGCAGCATGTATGGTCTTTGCGTACACAAAGAACTCGCGCAAGAACCCGCCTGTAACCACTTGTCTTTCTTTTGCCGATTGATGGTGCACTTCAGCTCGGGGCAGATAGGCCTTCTCTTTGAGAACTCGAAGTCATTTCTCTGTGTGACTTCGAGCCAACACGATTTACATGGTGTCCTTATGCTGCGGGTTTTGGAATTGACTTTTTCTGGTGAAATGGTTCATAGGTGTATTTGAGAAATCCACCGTGTTTAGGAAGTACGACATAAATAATGTCTGACTACAGCACCCCCTGAACACAGATGTTCTGCAGATCGCACGTTAAGTCCCTCTCAAGTGAACGTCTTTGTCCATTTTTACACATCTATGTCTGTTATCTTGTATGGCTTGTTTAATTTGAATTAATAAAGTACCGTAAGTAAATACACTCTGATTGAACGTGTATGTTTGAGGTTAGCTTCTTTGGGACTTTTGCTTGGACTTGCAGATGAACTTGCTACCACCTCATGGGAGAGTTTTGAAATATGCCTTCCATGTTTATGATACCTTCCAAGTAGTCAAACTCTGATCGAGAATGAATGCTTCAGTTGGTTCTGTTCTGGAAGAGGGAATGTTGATCAGTTAAGCAACGTGATGGATCTTAATCATTTACTGTGAGAAATGTCTCAAAATGATCTTGCCACGTTCAATATGCTGCTTCATGCTACTTGTGAGTTTCACCATTTTAATGATACATGAATAAACGTCCCTAGCATCTAACATTGTCCAAAAGTGGGGAAAAAGGGGAAGAAAAATTATCATAATCTGTTTTGGGTATAAAAAGGAGACTCATTATCATAATCCATTTTGGGTTGAAAAGAGAGAGATGGAGGTCTCTGAGAATCCTTTAAAACTTTGTGTTTTGCATGCCAGATCTCTGAAAAATAAATCGGCAGATTTTGTGACATACGCTATCAACAGCAAAGCAGATCTGTTTGCTATTACTGAGATGTGGCTATATAGACATGGATGTTGCCCATAAGGTTGAAGTACTCCTCCTGGTTTTAGATTATTGGATCATCCTCAGAAGACACGAGTTGGGGGAGGAACTGCTTTAGTTTTTGAGAACTTCTTCATATTAAGAAAATTGCTGGAGGGGAAGTGGACACATTCAAGTATTCAGAATGGTCTGTTGCGATTAATTCCAATAAACTGCGATAGGTGATTACGGCGCCTTTATTAAATTCTGTGGTTCTCATTTCTTTTACCACTTGAGATAAGGTCGGTTGAAAAAAAAAATTCCATGTTGCTGGTGTATAAATGACTGAATATACACATGTTCTTATTGTTACCCGAAGCCACAAAAGATACCGCCCTGGACTGAGGAAGTCTAATGCTGCTGGTCGGTACCATGCTGCTCACATTGAAAATCCCCTTGTACAAGTCTGGGTCAAGACAAGTGTAGGGCATTGCACGAACCTCAGTAGGCCACAGAAAGTTGCAGTATACCGAATGTTCACGTGAATGCTGACCGTCGCTGTTGGTCATTTGGGAAATTGTAAGTTTTCAGGGCTTTTGTTTTCAAAGGTTATGCTGGCAAATTTTTTTACCTTCAAATTTTTGGGGGGTTTATTTGTTTTTCGTAGGGTCAGCAGGGGAAAAAAAGGTGTTTTTTTGGTGATCAGGAGCCCAAAATAGGGTTGGTCGGAAATGAGAACCATAGAATATAAAAAGGGTGCCCTTATCTATAGACCACCTTACTCTGTAAATCATCCTTTTACAATCAACCAGTTTATCAGTGAGTTCGCCAACTATTTGAAATTAGTTGTCTTATCTCCTGAACCAGTTGTAATAACCGGCGATTTCAATATTCACATTGACATTCCTGATGACCCCATCACCGATCGGTTTTTAGAGCTGCTTGAATCTATGGGTCTTCAGCAACACATAAACAAGCCTACACACAAGATGGGTCACGTACAGTTTTAGATCTTGTTATTACCTGTCAATCAGAAACGTTTTGGAAAACCTTCCAACTCCGCACCATCTTTTCTCTGATCAAATGTGTGTGTTCTTTGCAACTTGAAACAAAAGAAACTGCCTTTCCCTGTTAAGGAAGTCGCTTACAGGAATATTAAATCGATCAACATTGATTCTTTGAACACTGATTTAGATTCTTCTAAGCTATGTACAAATGTCCCTCAGGACCTTGAAGGGCTTGCCAAGTGTTATAAAAGTACACTAGATTGAAAGCATCTTCAATAAACATGCCCCTTTGAAGTCTAAAACGGTCACTGTTAGGCCTTGTCTGCACTGGTTTGATCAAGAAATTAAGTCAGCAGTGAGGTTGAAGAGAATAGCAGAAAGAAAGTGGTGGTGTACTGACAAGGCTTGTGATCGTTTAGATTACAAGATTCAAAGAAACAAGGTCACTTACCTAATGGAAAAAGCCTGTTGCGATTTTTACCGAGAATTCATTGACAGTAATAGTTCTAATCAAGCGAAGTTATTCAGAGCATCGAAAAAGGTACTAAAACACACTAATAATGCTCCTTTCCCTCCGTATACCGACAAGCTGGCTCTTGCTAATGACATGGGTAACTTCTTTGAGAAGAAAATATTTAATATCCATGTTAGGCTTGATAATTTCACTTCAGCCGTAGCAATCCAAACTTCCTATCCAGTACTTGAATCGCCTTTGTGGTGTGGCATTTTGTTGGACCAATTTCAACCACTAACCATGTCACAAGTTGAAGAAATCATGTGATCTGGATCCACTGCCTACTAAGCTGGTGAGTGATTGCCTTGATGTCTTGCTTCCAGTTATCACCCGGATTATCAACTCTTCCTAAGAATCTGATGTATTTCCAAGGGACTGGAAAGAAGCTTTGGTCCGTCCTTTGTTGAAGAGAGATAACCTCAATCCCATTTTAGAAAATTATCGACTGATTAGTAATCTACAATTCATTTCTAAATTGACAGAGAGAGCTGTGTGTATTCAGCTTTACTCCCACATGTGTCAACATTCTCTGTTTCCAGATTTTCAATCGTCTTACCGAAAGTATCATAGCACTGAGACGGCTCTCCTGAGGGTCAAGAATGGCATACTGCTGAAAATGAACTCTCAGCATGTCATTTTGCTTGTTCGCTTGGACTTACGTGCTGCCTTCAGTTGTTAATCACACCATTCTGTTGCAATGTTCAGAATCTAAAGTTGGGATATCTGGTAAAGCTCTGGCCTGGTTTTCATCTTACTTATCTGGCAGAAGCCAACATATTTCTATTCAGGGTACTGAATCTTGAATTTCCAAAGGGAAGCGGGAGGCCAACCTCTCCTTGAGAGTCCCTAGGCGGTCCTGTTTCTGTCCGAATTTGCACTTTTTTCCATGGGCTTGTATTTAGTGTCATGCAACCCACAGCTACCGGACACTGCAGTGCTCAGGAATCAGTCGTCAGCCCGTGTGTGCCAACATGGCATACTTTTTGTGGGTGATAACTCAGCCATGTGTACTGTGACATCGTCTCCAGGACATTAACGTACAGTTTAAATTGCTATTTGAACAGGATGGCAACTTCGAGCTCAACGACAAGATCGCTCCCGATTTGAAGGCAAAATTTTTTTTTTCTTCCCAAATGTGAGTACACCTTACCAGTATTATTGGAATCTCCGATACTCACCCTAATCCTAAGCTAGATGCATTTAACAGTTTAAGGACCGTTTTGAAGGTACATGTAAATTTGGAGGATTTTGATTTTGGGTACAAGCTACATGTATTTTGAGTGAAATGAATTCATGGGATGAAAAGCCTATGGAAGGTACTTGGACCCAACCATCATCGACCATTTTTAGAATCCAAGTTAATCGGCCTATAAATAATGATGATTTCTCTGCACCGTCTTAAACGTTTGCACTATACTTATGGGTCTTACCATCTTATCACCGTCAACACATGAGCAGCATACATGTATATGTACATGTAAATCAGCTGAATACATGAAAGAGGCACAGAACTATATTTGGGCTAAAAAAGATTTTCGGTGGTTTGAGGTTCAAACAAAATTTATCTCTAAGCAGGGTAGCGGTTGAGTGATATTTACCTTCTAACGGATGACAGAACTTGGACTGTACCATTTTGGAAAGCCCTACGGTTGTGTAGCTAATGCAAATACAGGTTTGAGCACATTTAAATTTTCAACTTTATTTAAGTCGTGAATAAGTGATCACAGGGTAAGCAAAACCCTGTGAAAGACTTTGGGAAAATAGGTAACTTCCTAATTCGATGCATGTAATGTTGGTTTATCGTATAATACCATTACCCCTTCAGTGTAATGGTATGGTCTGATCTACATGTACCTTGGAGGCAACATGGCTGCTGACTTAGTAGCTGCTCATAGGAGGCAATTTTGTGAACTAAAAACAGCAATTTTCAAGAATCTAACCATTTGTAGTTAGCCATAATATCCTTTTGATAAATGCTTTATGGTCATATACTGCTTCTGTTTATTTTGAATGTGTTTTAGAGATGTCGACGGTACTATGTGTGTTGACAGTAAATGTAATTAGTAAGACTGCTACTGGTCATGGTACGTGTGTTGGCACAGTGAAGTAACTTCACTAGGACCCTACAAATCGCCTCTTTTAACATTTGGACTTGGTCGGCTAAAATATCTAGAGTCCTACTTTTGGATGGTGTTATTGTGAATAAACAAAATAATCAAAGAATTTTCGTAACATTTCTCCCAGATTCATGAAGCACCGTGTTCAAATTACATGTTCTAGATACTAACTGTGCCATTTTTAAGGGATCAAGGGTACTTATTGAAACTGAAAGGTTTCTGTTTTGGAATGATTCTAAATTCTTTTGTTACACATGTATATGTACATGTAGGCTGTACCATACAATGGCTGAAAGCAACCAAGCACTGCCTCTGTGGTGAAAAAGTGGTCAGGTGGAATCTGCTTGCCATGACAACAGTATAAACTATTGACTGGTGTTGTGGTTGGTAATTCCCCAAGGACATCACTCACAGGGGTGAAAGGTTCATGCTTTAGTATCCTGTTGCCAGTTGGATTATTTTGTCATTTACATGTATGATGCACAAAAGACCAGAACGTTTTGGTTCATTTCAACAAAATGATGCAGCCATTTGAGGCAGAATTAAAGTCATTTAGCGTAAATTATACTACATATTAGAAATGTATTGAAAACACAAAAACAGATACATTTTATTGTAATATATATGTTTGTGTAAGATTTGAGTAGCACAACAGATGCCTCAATTTTATGTGTTTCGTGGTTTGTCTTTCAAAATCTTTTGATGGAAGTAGTTTTGGACCAAAATTTAAGGGTGCTTGATGCCTAGATTCCAGTTTGTAAACATTTGTTTTAGTATTTGAAGTTCAGACATGTACATGTACACAGTATTCAAAAAAGAGAGAAAAGATTTCTGTATAGGTACATGTAATGCTCTTATATATGCATAGGTTGTATCCCTTTTTTACAGTTTCAGAATAGAAAATAGAATAAATGCCTCAGTTCAAAACATTGACCATGTATTGGTGTTTTTTGGGCAGATGAGGGCTTGTGATACCTGTCTAGACAATATAAATATACTCTGTTGTACTTAAATTGATTCATTGACTTCAACAATTCACTATCCTGTTGTTTGACTTGAGATTTATGCACAGCACAAGGTCACTAAAGTACAGGGGAAAAGACTGAAGCAAGTTTATGGAAATCAATGTTAGTTACCCAGCAACCAATAACCTTGACAACTTTCCTGTCAGATTTGGGGCATTGGGAAACCATTCACCCAGTTCAAACCATGTCAGCTTGCATTTTGTCAGACCATAGGGCAAGGTTGGAGGGTGTTTAGACTGACTTGAGTGTTGGTGCCACAATTTAGTTAGAGAAAGATTGTGAGCTCGACTGCAGTTCGTACGTATGTACATGATGTGCACGTGTAACGGTATGTTGTGTTGTAGCCTACATGTATACATGTACATGCACGTGTACACTAGTATGTGCACACCGGTACATGCATGCATTTGTTAGTTGAACTTACTATGAATGTGCACGTATGTAAATGTGTTGTTTATACTAAGTTCACATCTTTTTGATGTGTTCCCACAGACACACGCACTCATGCATGTACTGTACATGTTCACCCACATACACTTATGTGTATGTACATGTACATGTAGGCCTACAGTGTACATGTAAATGTATCATAATAATATTCATATTTGTGTAATTTACAGTGTACATGTAGGGCCAGTGGCTCATTTCCTTCATGCTCTAGTCATACATGTAATGTACATACACTACCATTAGTTGCGGTACTGGGATTTGCTGATCTTGGGGAAAGCTTGTATTTAGTTGTGCCATTGAGCTATTAAACACAAGGAGGTACCGGTACAACGAAGTCCCTCCAGACTGTATCCAATCGATAGACAAAGCGTGATTACTGGCCCAGTGCTGGAGATCCTAAACTTTCTGTGTACAAAGTGATTGCCACTGCCAGGTAGCTGGTAACCCACAGACTCAATGTGTTTTGCTGGAGCATACTGGAGTAAATAAATGGCGGAAAAGATGGGCAAAGAAGATGCGCAGTTCTCTTCAGTGGTCCTCGGGAGTCAGTGAGTGATCCCCGCAGATGCACCTGAAAAATTCTGAATTGGGGGTGGTTATTTGGTAAAAGTCAGAGAACAATTACCCAAAATATGAACTACGATATTTTTTATCATAAGTCACGATGCTAGTGGTTCCTACAGTTAATGGAAGGTAAAAACATGGCACAGGAATGCATTTGACAACGTTATAAGGTTTCATGTCCGGCCGATTGTGGCCAATGACAGGAAGGATACTGAGCCTTCCCATGTTTTTGTGTGTTTTGTCATTTTCCTCTGGACCAGCTACATTCTTTCAGTTTTCTTGTCGCATATTTTCGGAGATTTTGTGTTAGTTAGTACATGTAATTCTGTTTATTGTTGAGAGAGATGTTTTGGGGATGTAAAGACGTAACCAGACTTTCATTATCATTGGAATATCAGAACAATCACAAAAGTTATCGAAATTTAAGTCTCCGGTGACGGTGCTTACTCCTTGTATAATAGCTCCATGGTTGTGCACACTGTACCAACCAGATAGATATTGCATATGTCATTAGCAGGTAATTATTGTACTAATACTGGTGTTCAAATAACTCTATCCCCTTTTATTTACATCAGTAATAAATTACAACTAGTACATGTAAACAGTGATATACAGTACATGTATGCACATGTACAGTACCACACTTTCAGACTGAGGGAGTACATGTACCAGTTCTAGATCACACTTTCTCTGCACAGCTGTTACTAATTGTTTCATTATGGAACAGGTTTTTAATCACCTGACTGCCGAGATGATTGTTATGGAAAGAATTTTTTTCACCTGACATTACAAAGAAATACAAATGTAAGGTTTTTTTTTTTCATTTTGCACTGTTACAAATACATGTACATGTAAAATGATACATGTGTTTGTTAGTAACAAACACAGAGCTGTTTTGGCATTTCCCCAATTTGTTGGCCACATGTATGAAGGATGTATTAGTGGCCAAGTGCATAGGAGTTGCCAAAAGGTTGGAAGAGCTAATACTACTACTTGGTGACATTACGTCAGGTCACTGCCATTTAAATTTTAGTTTAATTAGGTGCCCCTAAGTTAACCTTCATCCACAATAACAATTTCCAATGAATTGCCTTGCTTTGAGCTGCACTGTGCAAGCATGATACGCAATCTACAATGACGTCATTGTAGCATAATTTTCCAAGGCCCTAATGGACCATTCTCTGGAAAATGAACCTGAATCACCAAAATTTCAAGCCATCTGTGCATGAAAGTTGTTAATACATTCATGTAATAAAATGTTTGAGTCATCATATTTGCAGAAAAAAGTGTAAAAATTTAAAAATTAAAAACAAAATTGTCGATTTTTGTAAAAATGATTCGTTTTGGAGAATTTAACCCCTAAAATGTTTTTGTTAATTTCCATGAAATGTCAACATACCGTATAAATTTTCATTAAGTGAGGATACAGATATTTTCATTTGGAGTATTTTCATTGAATTTCATCACAAAGTGAAACAAAACTGGAGGTTTTGTCTGTCTTAAGAATAGAGCTATAGCTTTTCATATTTTTTTTTCTTAAGAAAAGGGCATTCCTTTATTTGAGATACTACCAAGTTTGGATCTATTTTTTTACTCAAACATTTATCCAAGAGCTACAGATAATTCCCAAAGTTTCTAATAATATTTTTGGTGACCTTATAATGAAGAAATATATGAACCCTTTCAGACATTAGGAGATATAACGAATTCAAGTTTGCACCCTTTACATCATGTCACTTTGTCTATAACCCTATAACCCTTTCTATTTAGCTATCTACCAACTACATTTACATGTAATGTCACATGACTTGTCACGATGATGTCATCATCACATTAGGTCAATGTCAGTCAGTCTAAACAGACGATGGCTTAACTGCGCAAAAGAATATGGCATAGTACAGATTATTTACAAATTCAGAGTTCAAATTTATGTACAATACAATTTCAGTACATGTACACATTTAGATCCAGGTTGGGGT